TGGAGAATAAAGGAATCCTTGCGGCTGCGCTGTTGACGTTAGGTGCCCTCGAGTTGAGTACAATTCATAGCAACCCATGGACCACAATCTGAAGTCTGTTCTATCCTATGCTGTCCTCACAATCTCTGACATACATGAGTCCATTACTGCAGGCGCTGTGTTAATCCTCTTGTTTCCAAGGAACATTCTGGCTATACTTTCTCCAAGACATATGTTTGTTCTCTTGGCAATGCATGGGATGTTCAGTGCTCTTCCCCAACATCACAGTTCAAAGGCCTCAGTTCTTCTTCTGTCATCCTTATTCACTGTCTAGCTCTGGCGGTTTAGTGGAACGAGTTGCACTGCCAACCTAAAGGTGTATGGTTTGAATCCACCAGCTGCTCTACAGGAGAAAGATGGGCAACCTCTCATGTGATTGATTTACTGCCTCTGAAAACCTGCTGGAGGGTTGGCCATGGCTCAGTTCCAAAGCCATGGTTCCAAACAAACAAGGCAGCTAACAGGGGCAATAGCTTGAGGCTAACACCCTAAATTATGCTTTTCATCTGAAACAGAAGATATTCTTGGAGGTCATGTTTCAATCAAATAACAAACAAGAGCACCCATGAAGGATCTCTCGAATAATCGACTGTACAAAACTAAGCAGGCAACACGTGCTCAAACCAAAAAGGGAGACGGGAGGGCTGGGAACGGGGCAGTGCTGACACTGCGGGGCCAGTGACCAACGGTGTGGAACAATCTGTGTACAGGCTGTTGAATGCAAAGCCAATTTGCTGAGTAAGCTTTCACCTCAAAGGGAATAAACTGTTCAAACACAAAAGCCAAACCGCATGAAAAAAAAATTTGCGTTAAGCACCGATTTGTAGTAACCAATGAATGCGCTGCTTTGGGACATTCATCAAGACACCATGCAGCTTCGAGGGGTTTGTGGGCTACAGGAAGAACACTGTCTTTTCAAATTGAATCGTGCTACTGTTAACAGAGTTGAGTACACACTTGGGTGTTTGGCTTAGATTTTCCTCTTATTTACCTTGGTAAGCATGTCTCTGAAGCATAATTCTGTTGCAAACGCCAGTGAGGCAAGGAAAAGGGAAATTATCACCACTGAACATAAAGTAGTAATAATAAAGTACTGGCAAGAGGTAAAAGGTCGTAAGTCACTGAAAAAGCTGTAGGCCACAGTCAGCCAGTGGGCAGAACACTTTTAAAGAGTAAAGTAAGAATAAAGGAGCATAGGAAAGGATCGGCCTGGACAAAAGCCATTCATTTATTGCTAAACAATGAGGTAGTTTAATTACTGAAATGAAAAGGCTATTGATGATTTGGTTAGATGATCAAGACCAGCAAATATGTTCATTAGTCCTGCTTTAGTGCAAGAAAAAACCAGAAGCCTTTTCAATGATTTAAAAGCAGTGTGTGCAGAGCACGAAGGTGACTGCGATAAAAAACTTTTTGCGAGTAGAGGTTGGTGCAAGAGTTTCAAAGTGAGGGTAAAACAGTGTAATATTAAGATGCAAAGTTGAAAACCACAAATCTTTATGGGATTTTCCTCAAATATCTAAAATATTTATTAAGGAGGGAGGTTATATGCTCAATAATTTATGTAGACGACACTGGCTTATTTTATGAGGGGGATTACTAAGAGGATCTACAGAAGAGAAATGCAAAAGGCTTCAGGCATCCAAGGCTAAGCTCAGAATTTCAAACTCAAATTTCTGCTCAGAGATCGCCTCATCCAAAATCCAAGGGTATGTCTCTGTACACTAAGGCATGTCTTTATCTGGAACACATATGCCTGGGCTTGGCTCACAAACACCATCTCTGAAGCCCAGTCAGTAGTATTTCTGCTATACAACGCTACTGCTTGGCCAAGAAAATTCCTTTCAAGATTCTCCTGGTTCCTGACAAAGAACCCAAACACCCAAGACACACAGATGGCTTTCACTTCAATATCAAGTTTGTATTTTTATCCCCCAACATAACATGGCAACATTAGCCAATGGATTAGAGTCTCAATCTCCTTGAAGGACTATTATTTATGGCAGAACTTCTCAAGACTGTCAGATGACGTGAAGAACTAATGGGAGTTTGGGAGTAACTGTAACATCTACAATGCCATCCAACAGGATGCTAATTTTTCAGATGAAGTGAGTCAAATATGAAAGAAAGAAATTGTGCCCTAAATTCAGGCTTACTTTTCAGAGGTTTAGTAACATGCAAATAAATGCCCATGCTAACAAACTGACAGAGAGACGTTATTTCTCTTACAGCAAACTGTAAAGACAGTCAGGCATATAAATACCATGGCGCAGGAGACCTTAGAGACCCAGCTGAGGCCACTGGCAGCACAGTGGGACTTGAATGGGCGTTTCAGGCATGGACAGTGGTTTACCTAGATCTTTGGGGTCGATGCACCAAAGTGTGCGTCAGTAGACAAATGGAAAAAAATCTCAAGTGCACATCGGTGAACAAATGGCTACTGAAACTAAGATCCATTCACAATGAAGGGAGTTATGATCATTATAAAATGATCAAGAGTTTGTAAAGTCCACTGCACAACACGGATGAAACTAGAACATTATTAGCCAGTTGCAAAATGATGACCGTGGTCTAATAACACTAATACAAAAAGGTGGGAAATGCTTTACACACAGAGAGCACCCGTTCCAGAGGGTTAACAGATGAAAAGCAAGAAGAAGGGAGCAAGGAAAAACATAGGATAAGATGACTATTTAAAAACCTGAGGGAAGATTTACACGAAGATAGACTTAATTTAAAGGCTATCAGAGATGGGAAGAAGGGGAGAGGGGAATGAAATAATGAGGAAATTAAGTTGGGTCAAGGGAAAGGCAACAGAATAAAAAAAAAATTAAAAAAGAGAAAAGGAACAAGTCTATGGGAGGAGGGGCAAAGGAAGAAGAAGAAGGAAATTTAGGTTCCATCACAGAATAAGAAATGGAGCTGGTCATAAAAAACTCTCAACAAACACCTCGCTGCCCCTGCAAATTTTACCATTCAGAGAAAAACTCGCTCCAGTTTGTTCATGACCTATTCAGTATTCTTCTCCAACACCACAAACCAAAGGCATCACATATTCTGTCATCATTATTCCTTGACCAGCTCTCAGATGCATAGCAAGTGACTATGGACCATGGCCTGGATCAGGTGCACCTTAGTCCTCAAACTAACTTCCTTCCTCCTCTGTACTTTGGAGATAAGGATTATGGGTATAAGCCCAGCCAAACCAACTCATTGCCATTAAGTTCAGTTCTGACTAAGAGAGAAACTCCATCAGGTTCCCAAAGCTATAAATCTTAACCAGAAGAACCTGTCCGTCCCATGCCTACAGAGATGTGAGTAGATTCAAATGCTGAAGATATTCAGCCTTTTCATGCTACAGACAATACCATGAGGGTTCTTACAAATGCAATAGCAGTTAGCATTTATTGTTGTTGTTGCTGATTGCCGTAAAGTCAAGCACGACTCATAGTGACCCTATGAACAAAAGGCCTGAAGCTCCTCTACAACTACTGACATTTATCAAAGTTCATAGTGTCCAGAGGCTTTTTGTTTAGGAAGTAGATGCCACTCCTGCTTCCAAAATGTAGCATTTACTTAATGAAAATCATACAGACTGCTCACTTCAGAAGCTTAGCCCAAGTCAACAAGCTCAAATGCTCGTCAACAATAAATTGCATGAACTGTTGTCTTGCACATGGTGCCTTTTGAGACCAACCACAGAGACTGGCTACCCGTGAGAACAATCGGTCTGCAGGTGGATGTAGTAACATGGACAAACCTCCCGAGAGACGTCAGACACAGAAGACAACATGAACAGAACGTATGAAAGAGAATCAAATCTGCTGGGAGTGAAGAGAGTGGCTCCCCAAGAGGGTTAGAGAACTCATGACCGGATGAGAAAAAGGAGGGAGTCTTTCTAACTGTGGAACCTGCTTGTCGAGAGGCACAAACAACATTGAGAGACTGAGAGACAGACACACAGACACACGCTGTGTGTCCTGGAATTCATATACTGCTCCGGTGCTTTATGTTGTTACAGTCCACCTCCTGGTGACTCCGTATGCACAGAGTAGAATGTCTCCACGTGGTTTTCTTTTTTAATTATTATTGATAATTATTATTATTGTTGTTGTTATTATATTACTATTATTAATAAAATAATAATAATTTTAATTTTAATGAAAATTTACAGAGACTTTGGATTTCCGTTCATTCATGGTTGCATTTTTCTCCCTGCTCACCACCCCCCCCCAGTTCATTCTTCTCCTTGAAAAGTAAAAGAAAAATGCTTTCATTGTTGTACAATCCCTCCCCCCAAGTCCACTCCACTATGTAGCCTTTGTTCTGGACACCTGCCATGACAATAATACCTAATCACAAATCCCTTTTAAACAGTTCTCTTACTCATCTGTTCCAATGCAGTACACATCATTTATCCCATCTTCCTCAGTGTCCCCCCAACCCCGATGTCAGTCCCGTTTTACAGCAGTGGCACTATGCGGTATTTGTCCTTTTGTGTCTGAGATATTTCGCTCAGCATAATATCCTCCAGGGTCACCCTGGGACCTGTCAGCAGCAGGCAGCCAGGTCTGCTTTCCACAGCTGCTCCAGATGGGCTTGAACTGGCGATATATCAGCTCAGCTAAACCAATCCAGGAGCTGCTCCCCTTTCCCTAAAAAGACTAACGTGTTCTGAGAATAAGATCCCACAAGGGCCATCTTAGCATCACTCCAGGCTTGAGAGACATGCACCCTCCCCTTTCCACCAGAGATCCTCCCTAAAGACCCCAGAGCTCAGCTGACCCCAACGGACCTTCCTTCCTTTATTTCTCCCTCAAGTCCATCTGAGCCACTGGCCACCGGCTCCTTCCAGAACGCACCACTCAGCGGTCCTGCTCCCTTGAGCACTTGCTACACCAGGGTCGGTGGGGGGCCGTGGGCAAGGCGGGACTAGCAATCCAGGAAGAGGGAGAACTTACAGAATGTATGATGTCCTCCATGTCATAGGCTTTGGTGGACTCCAAAGGGACAATGGTATCGAGCTCGGGAACTAGACGGTCGCTATGAGGAGAGAACAAGCAGGGCTGATGAGCGACATCACACCTGGGAGGGCAGAGGGACGGTAAAGGAGAGGGGACCCTCCACCAGGAGGATGGACACAGGGACTGTGGCAATGGGCTCGAGAGCATTAGACACTGTGAAGACGGCACAGGATAGGACAGGGCTTGGCTCTGCTGTTCACAGGGTCCGTGGGAGTCGGACACTGGGAGTCGCTCTCGACTCGATGGCACCTAACAACAACATCATCATCAGACAAGCCACCTGCCTTCACAAGGGGGGCATGGGACGGGAGAGAGAACGGCATCATGGGAATTGGGACAGTGAGGACCCTGTGAGGCTCACACAGCCTTCGACTGAGCTACACTGTCACCTAAGCTGCGTTCCCCTGACGCCTGAGCCTGCGACACGTCAACCCAAGACCCCACTTGGCATTCCTTCAGAGGAGGAAATGGGCTCCTCTGAATGTGACCCTTCATCTTCCTTCTCTGATGCCCCCACCCCTACCCCCATCTCAGTGCGAGGCGCTGAAGGAATCTCAGTGAAAATAGAGTTCCCACTCTAACTTCCTGAGACGTTAATAACCAAAGATGTAGGGCTTGGAGACACAGATTAGGGGTGCCATAGTGACTGCTGAACTCTTACCTCCTCTGAGAAGGTTACCCCGCTAACAGCTCTTCTAAGAAGCCGCAGTGCAGGCCCAGTGGGCTGGATTAAGGTGAACTGAGTTCTAACACACACACACGTGTCATTCTCCTTTCTCCTGCACCATGGGGACTGCGCGGGGCCCACTGCCGAGGGACTCAGCCATGTGGCCCTCTCCGACCTCCTCTCTCTACCAGGTTCTTTGTCCTTCTTGTCTCCTGCTCGGGATGGGGCCCAGTCATGTGCTCCATCATGTCCAGTGTCCAGCGAGGCCTGCCCAAAGGTACTGGATAGTCATCAAACCCAAATCTAACTCACAACCCTCGACTCAATTCCAACTCTGAGCAACCCAACAGTAGAGGGTACTGAGCGCTCCACAGGGTTCCCAGCTGCCATGTTTGTGGAAATAAACTTCTATGTCTCTGCCAGGCAGGAGCTGTAGTATTCACATCACCACCCTTTCAGGTAGCAATCAACAGCCTTACGCCCGAGATTCGAGGCTCTCTGCTCTGGGCACAGTCCATCTAACAGAGCTGTCCCTTATTTTTCATTTGTTCAGTTACAGGTAGAGCTCCCTGGAGACATACATTTATTTGTTCTTTTGACAGTCCATGGGATATTCCGTCCTCTTTTCACCACCACTCAAAGACATCGATTCTTCTTCTGTCATCTTCATTCACTGACTGTCAGATACACAGCACGTAGATTCAAGCAGATCATGGCACACCTTAGTCTTTAAACTAACATCCTTACTCATTAGCACTTTGGAGAGATCCCTGAAAGCAGATCTTACCGAGAACGGATATGGAATTGTATCTGCTGGGAAGAAGCCATTTCAGACCTCCACCTTTCCCAGCTTTATGTCTTTTTCTAAGGACTTGCCCCTTCTAACAGTATGACCAAAGTATATGAGAGGAAGCTTCAACAACCTTGCCCTAAGGGGCACTGAGAAAAAGTTAATAAAATCTCCCTTCTTTGTGCCTATGACCAGACATGGAGCCGGTAATGTGGTGGATCATGTGCTCTGCTAACCAAAAGTTCAGCAGTTCGAATCCATCAGCTGCTCTGATGGACAAAGATGGGCAGTCTCCTCTCACCCACACTTACAGCTCTGGTGCAGGATTGCTGTGAGTCAGAATCAACTAAGAGGAGTGGGTTTTTGTGGCCCAGACTTGTCACCCTCATCATGCCCACTGACTCCACTCCATCTTCTGCTCCAACAGGGCCAACCCTGGAGGACCTGTCGGGACAGTGGAGGCTGAGGAAAGACAAGCCTGGCTGCAGAGGAGAGGAGGTGCCCAGGCCGGACGCTCACCTGGGGTCGTGGCACTCGCGGACGGGAGCGGGGTCCTGATTGCTGAGAGGCAGGTAGTTGAAGAACTCCCGCAGGTTACACAAGGCGTCCACGTCATTTTCAAAAGCCTTGTGGGCCACACCTGAGGGAGCAGGGACTCAGGGTTATTGTGTAGACAGGTAATGACGGGGAGCTTGTGCTGAGACGCGCTTAGACAAGAGAGTGAAAAGCGGCTGCGCATCAGAGACATAACAGACGGGTGAGAGGAATAAATGAGAACGACACCGAGCAGGAGGTGCGCATTTTATAACAACAATTGATCAGAGCTAAGACTTCAGAGACTGTTAGAGACACCTCGGCTTGACGCACACTAAGAAGGAAACAAGAGTCTCTGCACGGTGCAAACGATTACGCATTTGACTACTAGTCAAAAGTCGGTACTTCGGACCCACTCAGAGAGGTCTCTGATGGGAAGCTTGATGACTTGCTTCCCATGAAAACCTAGGGCACATTCTACCCCAAACACCTCGGCCACCATGGGCCAGACTCTACTCAATAACAACTAATAACAACAAGAAGGAAATGCACTAGGGAGCTCTGGTGGCCTAGTGGCAAGAAGCTGCACTGCAATCCCAGAGGTACACGGTTCGAATCCACCCAGATGCTCTTCTAGAGAAGGAGTGGCAATCTCCTTCTGTACCAGTCGGATCGGATTTGATGGTACACGCACAAAATAATAAAATAAAATGAAGAAAAAGAAGAAGGAAATGCTCACTTTTAAATCAAAATCCAACGCTTTGACCATAGCCCAGAACAGGTCATGAAGCAGCCTCTCACAATGTTAAGTCTTTAACTGCAGGAATGTCATCCTTAGTTACTTATTCTGATTGTGATCTAGTAAGCAATTCTGAAACTAGATTAAAAAAAAATTATCTAAATTTCATCGATTTTTTTTCTCTCCCACGAAAATATGGAATTGTGATCATTACTCTAACAGCAATGAGGGTTCCGCTCATATAAAATTCTTTTTTTTCATATCAAATTATTGATATGAGCTAAATCCTGACATTTCAAAATCAACGGGAACTCTGGTCACTGAGCAGTAAGGAATCAGACTGTCAATGCAAAGGTACACGATTCAAATCCATCAGCTGCTCCCAGGAGAAAGATGGGCAATCTATTCTGGTGCGATTTACTACTTCTGAAAAAATGCTGGAGGGTCAGCTATGAGTCAGTTTCAACTTGACAGCAGGCAACAATATCAGAGTAATACCCTGTTTTCATTTCCATGCCATTTCATTAAAAAACAAAAAAAAGAAACTATTTTTTATACCAAATCAGAGAGTAGTTTTTTTATGACAAAGTTCAAACTGCTATAAAAGAACTGGAAAAAAACAAGGCCTCAGGAGTGGATGGCATACCAATTAACACAGTTCAACAAACAGACTCTGCCCTGGTTATGCTCACGAAATCTGGAGAACCACCTGGCCAAGTGACTGGAAGAAATCGATATTTGTTCCCATTCCAAAGAAAGGTGATCCGACAGAGTGTGGAAATTACCGAACAGTATCACTAATATCACATGTAAGCAAGATTCTGCTGATGATAATCCAAAAACGACTGGAACAGCACATCAACAGAAAACTGCCTGAAGTGCACGCTGGATTTAGAAGAGGCCGTGGCACTAGGGATATTATAGCTAATGTCAGATGGATCTTGACTAAAAGCAGAGAGTACCAGAGAAATATATCCGTGTTTCATTGACTATGCAAAGGCATTTGACTGTGTGGATCACAACAAACTGTGGGTGACTCTGAAAAGAATGGGAATCTCAGAACAAACACCTTACTTACTGATTATCTGGTCATCTGTAAGTGTCATTAATGACAATGGCAAAAATTTAAACTTCAAGCATTCATTCACAGTTGTTGTTATGTACCTTTGACCTGCGACCCACAGTGACCCTATGTACAGCAGCTCTGAACTCTGCCCTGTTCTGGGCCAGTCTTCGTGATTCCAACACACCTAACCCGTTCCCCAGTTATAATATCAATCCATCTCATCCAGGGTCTCCTCCCTCTTCTGAGCTGTATTTACACCCTTCCAAGCATCATGTCCTCCAAAGACCAGTCTCTCCTGGTGATGTGCCCAAAGTATGTGAGACAGAGCTTCAAAATCCTAGCCTCCAAGGAGAGACTTGGTTTTAACCACTCCAAGACAGACTTATTTGTTTTCTTAGTGGTCCATGGTATGTTCAAGATTCTTCTCCAACACCTCAACTCGAAGGCATTGATTCTTCTTCTGTCATCTTTAGTCACTGTCCAGATCTCTGCTGCACAGCAATTAATGGCAAAGATCTTGGCCTGTATTAGGTGCACCTTCGTCTCCCGACTGACATTATTGCTTCTCAGTACTCTGGAGAGGTCCCTGACAACAGATTTTCCCACTGCAATTTGTTTTTTGATTTCCTGATTGCTGGTGCTAAGAGTGTTGATTGTGGAGCCAAGCAAGCTATAATTGTTAACAAACTCAATCTCTTTTCTATTCATTATGGTGCTGCCAATTGGCCCAGTGCTAAGAATCTTTGTTTTCTTGATACTGAGCTTCAAAACATATTGAAGGCTGCAGTTCTTAATCTCCTGCAGCAAACACTTCAGGTTCTCCTCATGTTCAGCAAGCAAGATGGTATCACCTGCATAATGTAGATTGTTGATGAGTCTTCCTCCAATCCTGATGTGACATCCCTCCTCATAAAACCCAGCTTCCTAAGTGATCTGTTCCACATACGGATTGAAATGGTGTGGAGATAGGACACATCCCTGGCATACACCTTTCCCGATTTTGAACTATGTAGCGTTTCCTTGCTCTGTTCCAATGACTGCCTCCTGGTTCAATCACAGGTTTCACAAGAGCACCATAAAATAGTCTGGATTTCTTCTCAGAGTTAGACACAATTTCTTGAGATCCAGTCAAATAAATACCTTTGCATAGTCAATAAAACAGAGATAGACATTCCCCTGGTATTCTCTGCTCACAGTCAAGATTTATCTGACATTGGCTCTGATGTCCCTAGTACCAGGGCCTTTTCTAAACTCAGTTTGTATTTCTGATAGTTCTCTGTTGATGTGCTATCCCCTTTTTTTTTTTTGGCTAATCTTCAGCAGGATTTTGCTTGTACATGGTATTAGTGATACTGTTCATAATTTCCAAACTCTGTTAGATCACTTTCTTTGGCATGGGAATAAATATGGGTCTCTCCCAGTCTGTTGACCTGGCAGCTGTCCTTCAGACTGCCTGGCACAGCCTAGTGAGCATGTCCATGGCAGCATCTGTCTGGTGAAACATGTCAACTGGTATTCCATCACTTCCTGGGGCTTTGCTTTTTGTCAATTCCTTCAGAGCAGATTGAACTTCCTCTCTTTAATCACCATTGTCTCTTGATCATATCCTGTTTCATGAAATTCTTCTGTGTCATCCAGTTCTTTTTGGTACAGTGACTCTGTGTAGTCTTTCCATCTTCATTTAAAGCTTCCTGGGTCATACAACATTCTGCCCTCACCATCTTTAAATATTGCCACTTGAGATTTGAATTTATTCTTCAATTCCTTCAGCTTCAGAAATGCCGAGTGAGTTTGTCCCTTTTGCTTTAACTCCAGCTCTTTGCACATTTCATTACAATACTTGGCTGTGTCCTCCCGAGCTGCCCTTTGAAATCTCCCATTCCGCTTCTGAATGTTCTGATTTCTTCCCCTTGCTTTGGCTTCTCGACATTCTAGTGCAATATTCAGTCTCTTCGGACATCCATCTTGGTCTTTTCTTCCTTCTGGCTTTGTAATGAACCCTTTGCATTCTTCCTGGATCAGATTCTTGACATCAGGACTGACCTACTAAACTTGAAGGCTAAGTACCAAAGTCTGGGAGGCCATCTAGGTCAAAGGGCAAAAAACCTAGTCTGGTAAGCAGCATCTAGAATCCTAAAAGGTCATGAGTGGCCCTTCAAAAAGCAACTATTGGTCTCTCCCCACGTAGAGCAAAGGAGAATGAAGAAAACTGAAGACTCAAGGAAGCAATTAATCCAAAGGCTTAACGGTTCACACAAACCACAGCCTCCTCTAACCTGGACCACGGAACTGGATGGTGCTCAGTTGTCATCAATGTCCACCCTTACTAGGACCCCAACAAAGGTCCCTGTTAAAATGGCAAAAAAAATCATCTCATCCCAGTCAGAACAGCACAATTTAACAGAAGAGCAAACATCAAATGCTGGCGAGGTTGTGGAGAAACTGGATTCCCTGACTCACTGCTGGTGGGAGTGTAAACTGGTGCAACCACTGTGGAAGGCGGTATGGCACTTTCTCAAAAAGCTGCGAACAAAATACCATTTGACCCAGCAATTCCACTACTGGAAATATACCCCAAAGAAACCATAACTGAATTTAAAAAAAAAGAAAGAAAGAAATCGGAACTGCCACGTAAGCAGATCTATGCACACTCATGTTTATCGCTGCTTTGTTCACAATAGCAAAGAGCTGGAAACAACCCAAGTGCCCATCAACAAATGAATGGAGAAGCTCTGGTATATTCACACAATGGAATACTATGCTGCACTGAAAAACAAGGAACTCGCGAAATACTATACAAAATGAGTGATGCTGGAGGACATTATGCTGAGTGAAAGATCTCAGTCACAAAAGAACAAATACTGTATAGTGCCACTGTTGTAAAATGGGTCTGATATCAGGGTTGGGGGAAAACTAAGAGGGGATAAATAATGTATACTGCATTGAAGTAGATATGAGAGACAACTGTTTAGGAGGAATATATGATTTGGTATTCTTGGCATGACAGAAGTCCAGAATAAAAGCTGCATAGTGGAGTGGACTTGGGGGGAGGGATTGCATAACAATGAAAGAATTTTTTTTTTTACTTTTCAAAGAGAAAAGCAAACTGGGCAACAGTGAATGAATATTAAAAAAAGAAAAAGTTTACTGGAGGAGGAAGACAGGGAGGAAAGTGTGCAACACTGAATGAATGAAAATTTTAAAAAGGAATTAAGGAGCTCTGGTGGCCTAGTGGCAGGAAGCTGCACTGCAATCCTGAAGGCATGTGGTTTGAATCCACCAGATGTTCCACTGGAGAAGGAAGGGCGATCTCCTCCTGGGCTGGTCAGAATTGATTCAACAGCACACCATAAATAAATAAAATAACCATGTATAACAATTATGTATTCAAATGAATATGAAATAAATTTATAAAAAAAAGGAATTAAAAAAGTGGGCAAAAAATGTAGAATAAAGTAAAAAACCCAACACCCAGACTTAACTGGTCTTAAAAGAGAATAGAAGCAAACTTTGGTTACAATCCTTCATATACATTGTTTCCTTCATCCACATTGCATTTTATACAATCACTTTCATACAACAATTTGTATACATTGTTTCATTCTTGTACATTTTGATTTGTAAGATCTTTTCTATACATTGTGTTTGATATAGTTTAATAATATTTATCTATATATCCACTTCCTAAACAATATGCCTCTGGAAAGTCTATTAACTGTTTATGATAAACGACAATAGTTATGGAATGGCTTCAGGCCTTTTGTTCACAGGGTCACTATGAGTCATTCTGGAACATAACTTCTGTTACCCCATGATATCAAGAACCAACTGCAACTTGCCTCTTCTTCTGTCCACTCTGTACATTTGTACTCGGAGAACTTTGGGAGGGGAGGAGGAGACGGCTGACACACTGCAGGGACTATATGGAACAGTCTGCATTTGTCGATTGCCACGGAGTTGAGCATGACTCATAGCGACCCTATTATCAAAAGGCCTGAAGCCTTTCTATAACTATCATCATTTCTCCAGGTTCATAGAGTTTCCAGAGGCATGTGGTTTAGGAAGTGGATGCCACTCCTGCTTCCAATGCACATGCATTACTGACTGGAAAACTTGTCTGCTGTGCAAACCTTTACCTACAGCCCAGCAACATGTTTTAAAATGAAGAACTAAAGGAAGGAAACGAAAATCGCAAGATTACTCTCAAGGCCTCTCACCTGACATGGTGGTGTGGGTTTTGGCACCCCCAAGCTCCTCTTGGGTGACGTTCTCATTGGTGACAGACTTCACAACATCAGGGCCAGTGATGAACAAGTAGGAGGTGTCCTGAAATCAGAGATTTCCACAACGGTCACTCTGAGAAAACCAGAGAGAGACTCAGTGTTCCTTCAGCCGAGGAGGCCAAGTACCCACGAGATGGTAGCTGACACGGTTAGCACGGTCAGGCTAGGATGCAGCACAAGTAAATGTTCATTCCAATGGAGTTTTAGGAACTCTTAGGGGGAGGTGCGGTAGTACAATGATTAAAGCATTTGGCCAACCAAGCTCATCAATCACTCCACAAAGATGTGGTCATCTGCTTCCAGAGAGATCTAAAGTCGTACAGACCCTATGGGGCAGTATTCTGTACTGTAGGATTAGCACTCTCCTCTGTTTCAAAAAATGCCACATGGTTCTACCTCGGCAAATTTATATACATAAAGTGTGGCTAACGTTTCAGTTGTTCATCTCTGGAACACAGATACAGACGGGTCTAATTCAGAGCTTGCAGCACACCAAGCCATTATGACACTAATGGTTGTTAGGTGCTGTCAGGTCAAGCACAACTTATAGCAATCCTGTGAACAACAGATCTGAACCATCGTCTCCATCTCGGAGACACTTGAGCCCACTGCTGCCGTCACGCTGTCAATCCACCTTGTTGGAGGACTTCCTCTCTTTCAGTAACTCTCCACTTCACAAAGCATGATACACCTGCCCAAGGATCAGCTTCTCCTAGCAACAGGTCCAAAGCACGAGAGATGAAGCTTTGCCACACTTGCCGCTAAGGAGCACTCTGGCTGCACCTTTTCCGAGACAAATTTGTTCATTCTTTCGGCAATTCATGGGATATTCAGTACACTTCCCCAACACCACAGTTCGAAGGCATCAATTCTTCTTTTGTCATTCTTATTCACTGTACAGCTCTCAGATTCATAGCAAGTGGCTGAAAACACAATGGTCTTAGTTAGGCACACCTTAGTCTTCAAACTGGTATCACTGCTCTTCAGTATTTTGGAGAGGTCTCTTACAGTGTACTTGCCCAAAGCAGTAAGTCTCCTTATCTCCTGATTGCTGGCTGTTGACTGTGGATCCAAGTAAGATGAAATAACTGACAGTTCCAATCTTTTCTCTATCCATCAAGATGTTGCCTATTAGTCCAGTGCTGAGGATTTTTGTTTTCCTGACATTGAGATGCAATCTGTATTGAAGTCTGTAGTGTTGGATATTCTACAGCGAGCGCTTCAAGTTCTCTTCACTTTCTGCAAGCAAGGTTGCATCATCTGCATAATGCAGGCTGTTGATGAGTCTTCCTCCAATCCTGATGCCACATTCTATCCAGGTACAATCAAACCCCCACTTACATATGAGAAAATTAGGACCCAAACAGGCACACAACTTGTCTAACCCAAACCAACTAATAAAAAGTAAAAGGACTTAAAGACACTGATAACTATTGCTTTGATGTTTAAGAGGGTAGAGGTAGGTAGTGTTAGGCACCTTCAAGTCAGCTATATCTCAGAGCATCTCTATGAAGAACTTGAACTTGTGAACTTGGCCCTACCCTGAGTCCTCCCCATGGTCTCTGACATGCCCCAGTCAATGGCTAAAGTTACAGTATCAATCTGTCTTGTTGGGGGTCTTCCTCTTTTTCACTGACTCTCCTCCTTTGCCAGCATGATGTCTATCATCAAGAACTGGCCCATTATCACAACATATCCAATGTATGAGAAATTAATTTTACCATCTCTCCTTGCCTGGAAGGAACACCCCCATTGTACTTTCTCCAAGACAAACTTCTTTGCTCTTTGGCAGTCCATGTGGTTTTTAACACGCTCCATCTCACATATTTTGGGTACATGGCCACAATGTACCAGTCCTTTGAGAGGAAGGGTGGAGGGACAGTGCATGACAGGAAGACCCAGGATGAGATGGATCAGTGACTGGAGGAGTGGGATTAGGTCTTTGGGAGACAATGATATTGGCTCTGGATAGGGCAGAGTTCAGAGCCTGTGTACATAGGGTTGCTATGAGTCGCAGGTGACTCAGTGGCACATAACAACAACATAGGATACAATATTCCTATAGTCTACTTAGGGTTTTTGCCAATACTTTTAAAACCATTAAAAATGTCATTGTATGCCTTGTATTCACACGTTTATTGCAGCTTTGTTCACAATAGCAAGGAGTTGGAAACAACCCAAGTGCCCATCAACAAACGAATGGATAGAGAAGCTGTGATATATTCACACAATGGAATCCTATGCTGCATTGAAAAACAAGGAACTCATGCAATAATATTCAAAATGGGTGACCCTGGAGAACATTATGCTAAGTGAATATCTCAGTCACAAAAGGACGAATACTGCATGGTGCCACTGTTGTAAAACAGGACTGACCTTGGGGTTGGGGGGAGACTGAGAAAGATGTGTTCAATAATGTATACTGCATTGAAACAGATGAGGGAGAAAACTGTTTAAAAGGGATATGTGATTAGGTATTTCTGTCATGACAGAAGTCCAGAGCAAAGGCTGCATCGTGGAGTGGACCTGGGGGGAGGGATGGTAAAACAATGAAAGAATTTTTTCTTTTACTTTTCCAAGAGGGGAGTGTACTGAGGGGGGGGCAGGGAGAAAAGTGCAACAATGAATGAATGGAAATCCAAAGTCTCTTTAGATTTTCATTGAAAGTAATAATAAATTAAAAAAGAAAAGAAAAAAAATTGAGAGGGGAAAAAAAGGTCACTGTATACCCCAAGAAAATGAGAACTGAGGCACAAATGGACTTGAACACCAATGTTCATAGTAAGAACATGGAAACAGCCCAAATGTCCTACCACAATCAAAGGGATTGAGAAATTATGGCACATTCACACGATGGAATATTACACAGCACGCAGGCGCAATTATTTTGTAAATTATTACCTAACTTAGGAGGGACTGGAGAGCATTATGCTGAGTGAACTAACTCAGTCCCCTGAGGACAAATACTGTGTAAGACCATTATTGTAGTAATAGGTAACTAGTAAAACATGTATGAGGATCTAAGGGGGAAGTGGAGGTGCAGAAGGATGGGGCTGGGTGGGGCTGAGTGGGCGAGCAGTCATGGACTTGCATGGTTTGATGGGGGAGGGGATCCAGTGTGAGGGGTGATGTTTATGAAGTTTATAGGTAAACCAGTATAAAATTTTAAAAAAGAATTGCAAGAAATAAAAAAAAAATCAAAGTAAAATACTTTTAAATAGTTCATTAAAGATACAAAAAAAATATTTACAAAAATAAAATGTCATTGCATCAATTCAGGTAATAATAATCATTCTCACAAAACTGGAGATAAGATTTATCTAATTACCATTCTGACCAAAATGTGATACAGACTAGATAAATGTGGGGCCCAAGAAATAAGTGCCTAATAAAAAGAAATTCTAGAAAAGTCTATCATGAGAAACTCTTTAAATAGGACTCAGATTGGGCAGAGGACAAGATCCTTTGATTTGCTGAAAGCCATTTTTCATTCAGAACAAGTGAAATAACCCACCAATCAGGTGCATAAGCCGCTTTAACAAACGAACCATCCTCCCCACAAGCTTCAGATCTCAGGCCAACCCCCTCCTCTCCACCAAGACCTTATCACCCTTGTCCAGAAAGCCAGAGACACTGCAGATAACAAGGCCAGATCAAGGTCAGGGGCTGATTTTAATATACATGAGGAACTGCACGATTTTCAAAGGCAACTCCAAACAGGCACCTTTTCTCTTACCTTGACCATGAATGTGAAGTCTGTCAGGGCTGGGGAGTAGACGGCACCACCTGCACACGGGCCCATGATGAGGGAAATCTGGGGGATGACGCCAGATGCCAGGACATTCCTCTGCAGAGAGAGAAAAGAGAGACAGAGAGAGAGAGAGAGAGAGAGAAGCAAAGGCATCGGGTTATGGGATGTGGGAGGCACTGTCTGTAGAAAGACAAGGGCAACAATCAAGTAGCCACTGGCTGCTTTCTGGTTCCCCAGAGAAATCCCACCCAGCAGGAAAGAGACCCTTAATCAGTAAAGTTTCCTATGTAATTACTTTTGCATCCCTCCCCTTCCCCGTAATTGGGGTGATGGCTGGAAAAGTACTTTCTGGGGCACATGCTCTCTTTGTCTTCTCAGGAGGAGCTCCCCCAAATCTCCACCAGCACCTGAGTTTCTGACACAGTCCCTCCACTTTCACACCAGCTACAAACACATCCCGGTCAAGCCTGTCTGCGTCTGCGCAGCGTGCAAGCCTGTGGAGAAGAGTGCAAACTTCAAAGGGAACACCCATCCTGGAGCCCTGATTGTTCATTCAAGCCTCTTCACAGCATCTGCACAGCAAAGCTCAGAGAGGCAGAAGCTGCTTTGCTGGGTTTTTAAAGTCCATTCACCCTCAAACACAGCCTATGCAGGAAAAGGGGCAATGAAGGACCAGGAAGACCTACAGCACCAATTCTCAGCACTTGGCCTAGGCTAAGACAGACAGTGGAGGATCGAAGACCCAGAGAAGCTGAAAGAGGCCCCATCGCTCCTTCTATTCTCCTTCATGGTGACCCATCGGCTTAGAGAAAGTCGGTCCTTCAAGACCTTATTGCCTTAGTTCTAAGTTAAGTCTCTACAAAGTAGGGAACACATCTCAGAACAGCACAGAAAGTTACCTCCACTCTACAAACATGACAACATTGATGGGTAGACAGCCTGAAAGCCATGGATGGCCACATGAAGAGCTCAGAAAACCACAACCAGCAATTCTAAACCTGGATGACATTGTCACAGATCTCAGGGCTCCGGGAATAAGGTTAACAGCAAGCGAGCTGAGAAATGTTTATTCAAGAAACATTGTCAAACTTAAGGTAACAATAGCGAGAGTCTGTGGGACTCTAAACTGTAACGTATGATCATCAACTGTAAGGTTGCCTTCAAGGTAAAAGAAAATTATGCCAAATAGTAACTTAAATACACAGGAAGCAATCAAGGACATTAAAAATGATGAACACAAGGGAGCTCTGGTGGCCTAGTGGCAAGAAGATGCACTGCAATCCCAGAGGTACAAGGTTCGAATCCACCAGATGCTGTGCTGGAGAAGGAGGAGCAATCATCTCCTGTACCAGTCAGATCTGATTTGACGGTACACACACACGAAATAATAATTTTTTTTTTAATTTTTAAAAAAATTTTGAACACATGATTAAATACCACAAATGAATACTGCATAAATACGCTTACCTCTTTTAACAGTCCTCTTTTAAAAGCAAGATGTTATAAAGCAATAATTACAACACTGTAACGTTATGTTTTTAACATGCAACAATAATAGCACAAAGCAGCCAGAAGTAAACGGAGCTACAGTGAAATAATGTTTCTACATCTTACCAGAATTGCAACAGTATTAATTCGAGTAGAGTGTGATAAATTAAGGTACACTCTGTGATCACTAGCAAACTCACTAAAAAAAAGGAAAAGAAAAGCTATCTAGAAAAACACTAATGAAAAAGGCACGCTTTTCTGTTAAAAGTGCTGAACATAAAAGGTAGTACAAGAATGTTGTTGTTGTTCTTGTTCTTGTTCTTGTTGTTGTATGAGCCACTGAGTCAACCCCAGCAAGATGTCATTTTCAAAGGCCTGGGTCCTCCCTGGATAGCATGCCCAAAGTACGTAAGGAATATAAGAATAAAAAACATGACCCAGGGGCCTTCAGGGAAAGGATGCAGGTTTGAGAAAGCCCTAAGGTCCACAAGTGACCAGACACTCCACTACAGACAAATTGGGTAATTAAACCTATATCTGCCAGTGAAGAGAGACCAAGAACGAGCAGGTGTCCTGGGCTTTCTTTTGGCCGAGGTGTCTGGCCATTTAACTAAGGTGTACAAACATACAGAGCTCCGAGAAGCCTTGTCCTGCCTGGAAGTTGCATTTGGCACTTGCAGGTGGGGTCACGGCAGAAGAGTGGGAATAGTCTGTGACTTCCACCCCACACAAGCTCCCCTTCTCGCCCTCAAGTGTGAAGTCTGCTTGTGTCAGGACTTGTCAGTCATTCAGTTGACTGCCTATAGCTTCAGGGAAAAGACCAAGAGAACTTTAAGGAAGAAATGTACTGTGTTCAACAAAAAAGATCAGGGAGAGGAGAAGTCAATGTTTCGGGACCTTCTTCCAAAACAAGGGCAGCTGTCTGTAGAAGATGTTAATACAAGGGTACCAGGCAAGCCCAAACTTTCTCCTTAAAGTCTCTGACTGTGCAAAAACTAGAGAAAATGCAGCAAGCAGAAAAGCATATAATTCATCACTGAGACATGGCAGAAGCAGAAGGACTCCAAGTAATTGACTGATAATCCAGCAGCTCTACAAACACCCTACCATAACGATAACTAGAAAGTCAGCCACATTTAAACTGTAGAAGTCATATTTTCTACTAAAACTAATATTCACATAAACACTACGGAAGTACCCCAAGATTGGCTGAACTTGCCCATTGTGAATTTAAACAGTATGGTTTGTACTGAACACAGCAATCAAAATAACAAAATTGTACGGCTTTTTTAGCAAACTCTAAAATTGCAGATTATTGTTTAGCATTCTGTTGCTATCGGTGTCATAGATAACAGTCTCTGGCAAAGGAGGCTACATACGCTTTTTTAATACAGAGGAGTTTTTTAATATCTATTTAATTCTTTTTTTAATTATTATTATTTTTGTGTGAGTGTACCGTCAAATCAGATCTGACTGGTATAGGAGGAGATCGTCCCTCCTTTCCTGGCAGAGCATCTGGTGGATTTGAACCGTGCACCTCTAGGATTGTAGCTGCAGCTCCTTGCCACTAGGCCACCAGAGCTCCCCAATATCTATTTTAAATACAGGATTTTAATAAACATTCTAATCTTGCATAAAATGCTAATGCTATACTTTTATGATAAATAAAATAAGTAATATGTGTCTCTATTTTTAAAAAAAGACACATAATAAATGGAAAATTGCTGCGAGTAAATCTAAACTTATAAAAAAATATTAAGTAAAAAAATAAAACCCAAACCAAAATATATATTAAATCTGAATAGAATAGTGTAGGAGAGAAGACTTCTGATAAGGCAAAACACTAAAAAAAAAATTTGATTCCTTTCAAACACCTCCAAAGCAACTATTTAAGTTACAATTAACCAGAGGGAGATCTGATGGCCTAGTGGTAAGAAGCTGTGCTGCAATTCCAAAAGCAGGCAGTTTGAATCCACCGGCTGCTTTGTGGGAGAAGGATGGGCGATCTCCTTCCGCGTGATTAACAACCTCTGAAAACCTGCTGGAGGGTCAGCTACGGGTCGGTTACAACAACAGGAATTAACCAGACTTGCAATAAAACCAAGTGACCTGACACAACGACGACAGCAATGGGCTCAAGTATGTCAGGAAAAGTGAAGATGGCACAGGATAGGACAGGATTCAGATTTGTGGTTCCTAAGGTCGCTGTGAGTTGTACTCAACAACCAACAACAGCAGTAAACCAAGGGACATTTATTCAAGATAAAAAGCCTGCATCTCACAAAGGGTGACAAGCTTAAGACAGTTTAACTTGCTCTATTACAGAAACTATTTGAACAAATAACGCCAAAAAAAAACCCCTTCTCAGATTGGATGAAAAACAATTCCTTCACACATTCAAGAAGCTAAACACATTCCAAGCAAGATAAAAAGATACACACCAAGGCACAGCATCATAACTGAACTGTCAAAAGCCAAAGTCACAGAGAATCTGGAATAATATCAAGCACAAAGGTGACAAATTCAAAGAAAGAAAAATTATTAATCAATAAACTTATCTCCAGTAAAACTATCCTTTAAAAATCAAAGAGATTAGGCTCTGGTGGCCTAGTGGCAAGAAGCTTCACTGCAATTCCAGAGGTACATGGTTCAAATCTACCAGATGCTCTGCAGGAGAAGGAGGGGCAATCTCCTCCTGTACCAGTCATATTACAGTACACAAAGAAAAAAATAATAAAAGAAAATTTTAAAAAAATCAAAGAGATTGCTTTTAAATGGTTCCAGGAAAACAGAATTTACACATGAAGAAAAAGAAAGCATTTATATCTCATACAGAAGACACACACACACACATATACACACATATATTTCAAAATGCATTAAGGACCTAAATGTGCAATCTAAAGCCAAGACATTCTTAGAAGGAAATGAAAGGGAAACACTGTTAGTTTAGGTCTCAAAGTTCAAAGTCAAAATTACTGCTGGCCTTGCAGGGGATTTCCACAAACTGTAAATGTCACAAGAGGAGACTGCCCTGTTCTTTTCCCTCAAAGAGGCTGGTGGATTCAGAAAGGTGCGGCCTTTGAGTTAGCGGCACAATTCAACAGAGCTCCCTACTGTTAGATAAACCACTGTAAAAAAGCCAGGCCTAACATAATAATAAAAACGCAATCAGCAAATAATAAAATAAACAAGATCTCATAAGCTTGAGGCCCTCAGGCCGGGTTTAAATTGTTTTTTGTCAAACATTCTTCTAGGTCTTATAGCCCCGGTCTGTCCATTTGCTGTACAGACGTAACTCCTGGTTGCTGTGATGCTAAACATTGTGACACTGATGTGTCAAATGCAATCATCATTCCCCATGGTGGACAGTGTTTGGTAGAGCTCCTCAATTAAACAAGTTTGGAAGCTGGAGTGGCATCCACTTCTGAAATGGCTTGTCTCCAGAAACCCTATGAACGTGGAGAAACGATGAAAGTTATACAAGTGTTCAGGTCTTTCGGTTCATAGGGTCGCTATGAGTCGTCTATGACTCGCTGGCACTTAACAACATCAACAGGTTATGATTAGAATGAAAAACCTCCATCACTTCAAGATCTGTCCTCGAA